ACCACTTCAAGTATTAAAATAAAATTATCTGAGAGGGTTTAATCACGCTTTGATTTCCATGGTCATAGCCCTTAGACATATGCAAACTGTTACAAACGGTAGCAAGTGGATGTAGCTTTTAACAGGTCACAGGTCAAAAATTTTATAAAACACTGCTCTACCCATAATATTTGCCACCAAAGACGTACATGCTGGCTATAAGTGGTAATATTCCTACCATTTTGCAGACCCGGACTCAAAGTTGAGCAGGTACCCAGGCCGAGTCTAATTTAAATCAACAAAATTTAGACACTCTTACTAAAGCATCGTCATCAGGTGGTGAATAGTGACATTAGTGACAGCACAAGCAAATACAACAGCGCAAAAGGGACTGAACGAGGAGCAAGGGAGGATTTAAAGGGCGTTATAAGGGAACAGGTGTGAAAGGCTGCCAGGAAACGAAAGATCATTTGAATGTCTGCATATTCCCTAACCATCTTAAAGAGAGGGAGTCACCCATCCACTCAGTTGTGCAGTGTTTCCTGGAAGTCGCGGTAAAGGGTAATGAGCATACACTCATGCACTGTATAATACCAGTAGGATTGGGACTTAACCCTGTCTCCATGGCAATTGGTGCAATGATGACAAATTTGCTGTTTCAATAAACAAAATGACTAAAAATTGCCTCATTGTTGTGTGTTTTAGTGATATAGTCATTACATGTGTAACACAGAAGGGACACATTAACACAAGAGGATATTTTACACTGTTTGCCTTACAGGCAGAATAAAACAGAATTGGTTTGTCAGAGTTTATATTTGTGGTCTGTGGGTTCAGACTGTAAGTCAGCAAAGCACTTCAGTAGACTCTGCAAATCGTGAAATGTTTATTTGCAAGGCTACCTGCACCATACAGCTCATTCTCCTGAGGATGAGTCATCCACAGGCTACATACAGTACATTTGAGGTGGGCTTTGGATAAGCTCCTGGAGGAGAATGTAGAGGGGCAAAGAACACTGCTGAGCCATCACAGCTGTACTGATTTTCTGTCACATTGTTTCACAACAGGAGACATTACCTGGTAAAGGAAACTGTAAATCTCACCCATCCCCCACAATAACCACTGCACAAGGTCCTGCCAACAGTCAGCTATGTATTGATAAAGGGAGCCAGGTATTTGCTGCCACATTGTTTTTCTCACAAAATTTGTTTGCTGGGTAAAATGTAGAGGGAGATTGTAACATGAAACATTTCTGCTGTAGCTTTTCTGCGAAATAATTGACTGAGGGATGAAAAACCTTGTGAGCCATCTAGTTTTCTCTGATGTCTTGATATCTGATGTAGTGGACAGACAGTATACATATGACGTCCTTGAGGATGGATGTTTGTTGTTACCTCAGATCAACAGGGTCTATTTTTCAAAGTCAGCCAACCAACTGCTCTTTTTTTACCAGTGCGTTTATTAATCTGCTCCCTTTTGTTAAAAAATGACATTATTTTCTTTGTGGATTTATTTGTTAATACAATTTTTTACCTTAGTTGATTAACCGTCCATAAAATGTTATAAAACAGTAACTAAAACTGAGCATCACAATGTCAGGTTTTGTCTAAAACCCCAGAGGAAGAAAGAAAACAGCAAATTCTCACATTGAAATAAATAATTAATAAATAACTAAAACGATTAAAGCATTATCAGAATTGTTGCCGATTCATCGACTGATGACTGATCAATCATTGCACTAGTTTAAATCTCTGTGAAGATGTAAGCTATGAGGGCTTACCTTATCCAGAATCACTCTGTTCGACTGCCTTTTGTGTTGAAGTATCTCCCCCCAAATGTGCTACAATTTTGTGGACAGTTACAGATATTTTAATGATTTTTATTTTATACTTATATGTCTATTCCTTTGCTTTCTACTGTTGTACGGATGTACTGGAAACAATTGTACATGGTGTAAACAACAATCCTCTTGGCCCTGCTTTACATGCCAAATTCAGGGTGCATTCCAGGAATTTCCATAACCCCCATTTAAATATTTGCATTTAGCATCACGGGACAGAGCAATGAGCAAAAGCAACTCTTTTGTGCCTAGCTTATGATGCTATATTTTTGACTGAAAATATAAATACATTTTTATTTTCTTCTATAACAGGTCACACAACTACCCTTTTAATCTTTTCTTTGTCTTCTTCTTTTTTTAAAATTGAACTGAACTATGCACAAATGCACCAGTGTCCCCCAAAAAGAAGAGCGGGGGAGCTAAAATAATAAATACCAAGGCTGCTCTTGACAATTATTTAAAGCACTCTTTGAATCTGAAATATTAATCTTTTTTTAGCGTGTTCACATCAGCATGAGACACGGTGAACTGTTTGCATGCATCAAGCATGTACACATATTTCCAGGTGACATACAATTTTAGGCTAACAGAGGTAAAGCAAAAGCCAACAAGCGACACTATTAGTGGTAAAAGGACAGACAGTACTCGTGGTCAGCTCTCCACGAGTTATTCCACTGTGACATATTGCTGTAAGATATCAGGTCATCTAATTAGACAGGGGATGAAAAGTTCACAGCTGTGACGTGCTGCCTTGTGGGAGTCAGGAACATTGTAGGAGGAATCATATGCTTATATTTGTATGTGGCAGTCAGTGTCTCTCTTCCTGTCCGTGCACAAACATAAAGGCTCTTTTTCAAACACTGGATTTATGTAATTTAGGCCAACACTCAAGGTTTCCTGAATCAGAATTATAATAAAGAATCATAATTAATTGCATCTGTGCTTTGTGTGCGTTAGTGTGATGGTATCTGGGGGTGCAGCGGGTTAAAAAGCAAATGCTGACGTTTCATCTGCATGTAGAATCTTTGCTTTTAGCAGGCTGGTCTGTTGTTTAAGTTCATAACCACTCATCTCTGACTCCGTGTGAGGTTCAATAAAGGTTATTATCCCTGTAACCAGGAGGGGAAAAACAATTTAACGATATAATCAAAATTCACTTGCATGTGCTCCAGTGACTTGGCGATGAAAACAAGACAGCTACATGTAGTAACATAATGACAATCAATTAAAAGTGCTCTGACTTTGGTGCGAAATGCCATTAAAGTCCCTGTGATCTTTGTTTAACAATACATAAATAGAGTTAACAACTTTGTGACGCATTTGCACAGAGGTGTTTTTTTTACTAACAAATCACAACACATAGCATGTAATGTCTCTCAGGGAGGCAAGATAAAACAATGGGTCCGACATGATCTGAGATTCTACCTGCAGTTGCTAAGCAACACCCACCTCCAACCTCTCAATCTGTCCCATTGGTCAGCAGGAAAAACGCACAAGGCGCCCCATTGGCTAAGAGAAAGTTAATAAACTTTAGCCAAGACCTGCCTCCCTGTGTGCGCACACACACTCACTCCCTCTCTCTCTC